CAAACCAATAGTAACTAAAAAAAAACTAGGATCGATGCCAAAAAATAAAATAAAATAGAAAGAAAAAAAATCCAGCACTGGCGCCGCCATTTTGTAGTTTTTTTACTTGAAGCTTGCACTATAATGCGAGTCAAAAAAACTACACGACCCAAAAACCAACAGTGCTTCCGCTCTGAGTTTTTCACCCGCGTTCAAAAACAACAATTGAGGGACCAACAGTTAGTGGTGAACTCGACTTCGAAAAGTTTGATTGTTTTGATTGTTTATTCACCTAAGATACGGATGGTCTGTTCCTTGTTTGTTACTTTTATTATGTATTTATAATTATTATTCCTTTTACTTTATCTGACCTTTACTACAGTTAGAAACAGGAACTTAACTGACCCTTCATAGAAATTCAGATTCAATGTATTGGCAGAAATCTTATTGAAGACAACAAGAATGGGAGTGGTGCAGGAGCGGGAGTCATTCTGAATGGGAGCGGGATGGGAGTGAGAGTAATTTCACCAGGAGTGGGACGGGACAGGATTTAGATTTCTACTCTGGCCCGGGATCGGGACGGGACACATTTTTTTTCTGTGGGAATGGGACGGGACAGGAGTGAAAATCCACTCCCGTGTCAGTCTCTATTCTGTATTACAAGCTTCTTCAGCATGCACTTGATTGTGCAAAATGTGAATGTTTTAATGTGAAGAAAGAGTTATGTCTAATCGGTGTAATGCCTCACCCTCTTTCCTTTTTTATTTTAAGTTCAATTCAGGGGGCTTGAGTGTATGCCCAGACACAAGACACATTAGCAGGAACATTAGACAACAAACACAAACTGGTAATGATCAAATAGAACGCCATGGAAGGCAAAGGTAATAGCCTTAGACTTAGACAACTTTCATTGTTGTTTCGTATACACAGAGTTTCATGAAACCTGTACAAAACGAAATTTCGTTTTGTACAGGTTTCATGGTATTTCCATTTGTTAAAGTGCAGCAGTGATTAAATCTATACAGTGTGGGAGAAAAAAAATGTGGTGAAAAACCGCATTGATATGAATCCCTAATCTTTGTTCCAAGAAGAATTCAACTTTATTGTCACAAGTACAAAGAAACGAAATTCCCTCTCTGTATTTACCGGTAACCCATCCCTTTGGGTAGCAGTGGGCTGCCATTGTGCGGCGCAATGTGGGGTTAAGGGTCTTTGCTCAGCGACCCAGAGTGACAGTCTGTGGGAATGGGACTAGAACCCAGAACCTCTGGGATCCAAGCGCAATGCCCTAACCACTGGGCCGCCACTCCCCTAGTGGTTTTATGAAGAACTCCTTTGCAAATCAGGTGTTTTTATATCCAACTTTGTTACTCAAAAGTAAAACTCTGTATAAAATGGAAGTGTTTATACAGAGCTTGTCTTAGTTAGTGGTCACTGAATGAATCATTACCCGTCCCTTCCATGGTCAAAGTTCTTCAGTATATTGAGATATGCATAAATGGTGCTAAATCCAACCGATGCAAGGCCGTATCTGAATTTTTTGCTGAGTAAAGCATTCAGTTAAAACTTTGCTCACTTATCAAAAATCCATGAAAAACAAGAATACAGAACTTTTGGTGATGCAGACAGAGTTGAGAATCAGTCAAAAGGGACTGATTTAATAAAAAGCTCTGACAAAGGCATTAAAGTATCTCACCCATTATGCCAATACTTATTGATCAGTTGGGGAGCTTTATATTTTACACAATGGTAAAGGCATACCAGTATGTAATGAAATCTTTAAGCAAAGGTCAATAAATTGAATGTCTCTAATGTCCTTGAACCTCTTTTAGGCTAAAACAATGAAATGAAAGAAGCAGAGTTTGGGGTAGAATACCTTGGAGTTGACCTCATCAAACAAAGCAAACAGGAAGGTGTAGAGATTTCCTAGAAAGAGGGCAAAGATGCGTCCCAGCTGCCACTTGAGGGCGATTCGAGGATGGTAGTCCTCCAGTTCGGCGATTGTCTCAAAAAGAGGAGGACACACCAGACCCAGCAGGGACATGATGAGCTCCAACTGGTAAAACAGACCGTAGGGATAATTTAAGACTGGATATTTGCTTTAACTTTAACTGTATATCTAATGGGCTCAACACACAAGGACTGACAAATGACAACCACAGGTGGCGGTCAACGCCACACTAATACACAGAGGACCTGACAGAGGAGACAGCATTGGGAATCATGTTCTTGGGTGGCCTGCCTCTAATAAATTTGATTGGTTATGAAACTGGAGGAAGTTTGACACTTTAAAAGGAAAAGTCCGGTCATATTCAGAATTCAAACTTCTGAAAGTACTTTAAGTAGAGAGTATTACATGCTGTTCAATAAATGATACATGTTTTTAATTAAGAGAAATTTACATTTGAATATACTTTACTGGAAGCAACCATGTTTGCCAAAGAACACTACTGCCACCTACTGGTTTGTGACGTCACGGTGCGGTATCGGCTGTTGATCAAGTCCCAGTGCTGTATCTGGTGTTTGTCACAACGCGCTATTATCCAAGTCATCTTGAAAACATTCTTCTTCTTAAAAAAATAAATAATAATAATAAAAAATAAATAAATAAATAAATCAAAAAAATTAAAAAAAGGAAATAAATAAATAAAAATAAATAAATAAAAAT